CAATCACTGAAATAAAAGAATCACAATAAAACAACAAAAACAAAAGACCACACAAGGTTTCAAAAGCCAGAGAAATGTATTTAAGCAAGATGTAAAACTTAGAAGATGCAGATTAAATGTCCACCACAAAGCTGGAGCTGGCCCCTGGAGCTGGCCCCTGGAGCTGGCCCCTGGAGCTGGCCCCTGGACCTCTGCACCGGGCGAGTAGATGAGGTGCAAGCCGTGCCATGGTGAAGTGCATTGTGTGAGATTCTAAAGGTTAAAAGATTAAAAAAAATATCTATTTGGATGAGCACACAATATTCTGAGTAATTGATTATGTATTTTTCCATTTTCAAAACTTGTAAAAAGTCACTTGTTCCGCAGACAAACTTCTGACTGACAATAGACTCCAGAGCAGCTCATTAACCCAGAGTGTACCCTTGCACTTCACAGCTACTCTGGTGATTAAAGCAATGCGTTTTAAACATGGAAAAGGTCAAACACAAAGTCCACACAATATTCTCAAAAGGCCTTTCACAGAAATGATCAAAGTCTTCTTACAACAAATTGATTCTTGCCAGTGGTACGGCTGGACACCCCCACCCTGATCCCTGCACTGGACAGCTCTCTGGATGATAAAGTGGTGGAATTCCACAAAAAGGGAAGATGGATACGTCACAAGCCCGAGAGACCGGAATCGAGGTCTGTAAGCTCTTGAACATGGTCAATAGAAAAATTCAATGTTTCTCTCTTTTGCTGAAGACATCACATACTTGAGTTATAGTCAGAGATAAAACACAGGTGCTGTCAGCCTTCATCCAAAGTGATTTTACAGCACTAAGGTTACTGCAGATTGTCCATTGATCCTCATCCTTTCTGAGGTAGAATTTACACACGCTACAATACAGCCTTTATTGATCTCATCATGTACAGTAAATTGTAGTCTGTGGTATAAAATGCATTTGCTAACTGTTATAGAGCACTCCTATAATATAAACATATATTCTGCTATTTCGGCTGCTTCTTTATTAGTCCTTTATAGAACCTTAATAGAGTGATAACTTACCCGTCATTGTTTTCATAATTTCACATGATGGGGTGACTTACTATGTAGCCACAGCTGCCCTGGACTGATGGAAGTGAGGCTCTTGTCTGTGAAGGATAGTAATTGTGCCGGAGAAACAGCCATCCCATGTGGCTTCTGGCTCTCATCCATGTCCTGCCCGAGCTCTGATTGGCTAAGCTTCTTTTTTGATTTGGGCTGATAGGCTTTGGCAAACTAGAAATAGTGACATGCACAGTGAAATACACCTTAAAACCTCCCTTTTTGCTTTGAGGGGTCGATACGCCTCTCTCGGGAGGAAAAGGGTCTTTGGGCAACACTGTTCTGGATAAGGCAAAATGCAAAAACACAAACGATGACCTACAGAGGCATTATGTCCTATGTCCATTTTTTTTTTTGAGTGTGTAACACAAATTCGCCTCAAGGAAATAAATATCAATTCAATGACAAACAAAGCAAATTTAAGTGGATGAAGCAGTTATCATTGGACAATTATCATTAGACAGAAATGAAATCTAAACTTAGCATTTAATGACAAATTGTTTTTTGTTGTTGTTGAATATTCAAGATAGCCTGTTTGAAAGACAATAAAGCAGCTCTTTCCACAACCCTGCTTCTTCTCATAAATAGATTAAACAAATAAATGATAACCACTGTCCAGCCTCCTCCGTGTGGCTTCACGGATTTGCTTTTCCGGATTTTCATTCTCAACAAAACAAACAGCAGACCCAAATCCCAGATGGGGATTATGATGGAAAAATCAATCAATCCTCTTGTCCCTAAGTAGAGAATACACAGCCGTATCAGAACTGCCAGGATCAACGTAAGCGCTTTCTAACTTAGGGAAAGGGTAGACCTACAAAAATTCTCATTATGTTAATACTGTGCCCAACAAAATGAAATCTACATCTCATACATGTCATGTTTCCACACACACTGCCGAGGGAGCGGGGGACTGCTGCAGACTCACAAACACAACCACAAACACAAACACAAAGATTCCTCAATAAATGTTTTCATCGTGGAAATATGGTTTCACTGCCGAAAGAGCAAGGGTCTGTAGCATTTCAGAGAAGGAGGAAACAGCAGTGCACCAGAGGCATTGCAACTGGGCGGATACAAAGAGGTAGGGGAAAAAACCTTAAATGGTGACAATGATGAATTTGTATTTCTTCACTGCATGAAGGATACATTAAAAAGTTAAAAACAAAAAGTAGCAACATACAGATAGAATATTTTGAAAGGGACTGTAGATTGCATTTTCTATTTTCTCAATGAGACTTAGTCAAACATGTCTTATTAAGTAAACAATTTTCTGTTTCTGCTGATAATGAATGAATGAATGCATATTTGTGTCATACACAAACAATTTGTGTCATACACAAACAATATGTGCCCAGCCCTCATGGGCTTATATGACACTATCAACATTAAGGATAATAATGCAACACCAAAAGTTGTAGACAAAGATATACAGTTACTATCTCTCCAGATATAAAGTCCTTTGTCTCAGTGTCCAGGCCTTTTCTACAAAGTTTGCTACGGCAAAAACATTCTTCTCAAATATCCAGCACAATCTATCACCATCAGGAAGCCAAAACAAATCAGAATTTTTACATTTAACCTTTGTGAACAATACCATTATTAGAGCATTGTTCTACTGATGATTTTTGGTAGAACACATGAGAGATTCATTGGACAGAAATGACTCACATTTGTTTCTCCTGGTTTGAAAGAAAGACACATTTGATCAGCATGTTTTACCCTGGATGAATGTTTGACCTTAGATGGATACTTGTACTTTGGTCATGATCACGTGTGATTTGTCAAACACAGGAGCTGAAGGTTTTGTATGTATTTTAAGCTGTGTTATATCTGGTGCTGTCACTTAAACGCATTAAGAATTGCATTAAAACAAACCCATTTTAACACCATAATTTTTTTAACAAGATGATTAATGTAGTTTATGTATTATGAAATGTGTTATAAAAGCGGTGTCACTGTGCAGCAAAATTATGTAAGGGTCATACAGTATTTTGAGCTGATTACTGGACATCCATCAGGAATCACACTTATCTCCAGGTCAACGCCCCGAACAAAGTTTTTTCTACAGTGTGTAATCATCACACAGTAAAAAAAAAAAACATCTAACAAACAAAAGAGTTGCCTTTATTAGACAATTCTCTTCATTTCTACTATGTTAGATACTTCTCTAAAAAGTAATAACAAAAGCACGCAGAGATTAGAGGGGATTGATATGAGCTTTTCAAAACAAATCCAGGGACATTTAAAACTGGGAAAAATAGTCTCGATTAACCACAAGTTAACTTTGACATTAATGCAATTCATTCCCAAAAAGCAGGAAACATGCATTAGGGACTACATCACACTTTAGTGTCAGTTTAGTAATTGGGAGAATACATAGAGGATATCACCATGCAGGGGGACGTGTCCATTTGGAGTTCATGGATATTATAGAGACGTGACTTGGACCAGACTAGACCTCTGCGTGTAAGAGCCACAGGTGAGTGGGGTTTGATGCATAAGTGCAGTCATACTTCCATTAATGTATATGTTTTTGTTTTTGTTCAACAAACACTTTATTTTTTTTGGTTGTGAATGGGGCAACACATAATAAAGTTCCAGTTGTATTCATTTTTTTATTTTCTCTCTCTCTCTTTTCTTTTGACTCAGATGTCAGAATGTGTTGTGTTCAATATGTTTATGGTAATGAGTTGCAGACTTATTGATTTTCATGTAATGTTGTAGCATTGAACAGTCCCAGAAGGGACTTCCCAGAAGGGACATCCCAGAAGGGACTTCCCAGAAGGGACTTCCCAGAAGGGACTTCCCAGAAGGGACTTTCCAGAAGGGACTTCCAATCCTGAAGTATAAAGCCTAGCGTACATCGACAGAGAAACTGGAGACAACTAGTTGCAAGGCGGCTTTTGGAAACTAAGAGGAGATGGTGGGAGATGATCAGTTGCCGAAATCGGTCGATGTGCGCGCTCTTACAACTGGAGATGAACCGTCGGTCTCCAGTTTCAAACAGTTGCCCGTGTTGCCCGTGACATAAACTGTTGCGAGCCCGCAACAGTTTATGTCAGAAAACACACTGTAGTTGAGGCCAGTTGCTGTCGATGTACGCGCTGTTATTCCCGAGACTGGTCTGCTACTGGGAGTTGCCCGTTTTCGTCAGATTGTCGATGTGTGCGGGGCAGCAACTCATATGCGACGGATATAATCAGTTGCCAGTCCGATGTACGCTAGGCATAACAGTTCACTCACATCGGGGTCGGACATTTCTGTCTGTACAAGTACTGTTGACTTTTTGTGGAATTATTCAGTTTTGAAAAATAAAGTGAATGCAATGCACTTTAATGCAACATCCTTCATCAGAGAGCTTTAAGTCATTTTATTCTTAGTCTTATTTTTTAACTTCTGGACATTCCCATTGATTTTCCAAGACCTCTTATTAAAGTACAAATGAAATGATAAGGTTTGTTATCCTTTGAGATTGTGTGAACGAAGCATGCTTTACCCTGACAAAGAGCTCTAAAAATCAACTGACTGAAACGTATTCAATGTATGCATTTCATGGATGTTTCATGTATACTTCATGTTGGTTTTGAGGGATAATTGAAAAGGTCCCTGTGCATCTGTCTTCCTCAAACAAAGCTGTCAGGGTTGTCAACGGCAACAACATGGCAGAGGGCTGCAGTTCCAGACGGTGGCGTGGAGAAGGACAGAGCGGTGTCGAGTGAATTGGAGATAACAGGGACTGTGACAAGTGAATTACAGCTGACAGCCTGAGATGAGCTTAGCCTCAGAAGAGCGAGACAGCACTGGGAGACGGCTCCGCAGCGCAGGGAGTCAGAGGCCAGGGAAAACACAGTATAAGAGGTGAAGGGGCGGCTGCAATATGAGAGAAAGATATAACCAAACCATCACTTACCCGTGGCATTAGTGAGGCGGAAGGTAACCGAGCGATCTTCAATGTTGCACACATTCCGCACAGACACTTGGCAGCTATAGTCAGCAAAGTCCTTGGGCCGAAGATTCTTGAGTTTCAAGACCTTAGTTTCACCCTGAAGAGGAGGAAAGTAGATATTTAGATCATTGTTCTGTTAGTTCACTTAGTTTACTTAGTTTAACGCAAACAAAAACAGTTGATCATGGGTGCTTGTTGCCAATAACTACTTAATAAAGGTGAGATGAGTAGATGAGCAAAGCATGGCCTTTTTCATACTGCGATGGGAGACCGCTGGGAGTACCAGGTGCTAAAGTGGGACAGCTGTAAAGTGAGACACTGTTGTTGTGTACGGAGGCAAGTCCCTTCATCTGCATGGGTCCAGCGGTGCAACCTGTGACTGAGGTTATAGGTTAAATGAGTCCGGAGTGAGTGTCTTTGTGAGTCTTTAAAGTGCTGAATAAATATAGATTACACTGACTGAGAGGGAGATGAAGGTGGATTTGTCACTGGAGGACACACATCTGCGCAGTGTTTGAGCTGAATCGTGTGACTTTTTCCAGAGGAGGAGAGTGTTTATGAAAATACGTTTTTTTTTTATCACAAATGCCTTAACCTTAAATTATCCAAAAGAATCCTATTTTGAACAATCACTGTAAGTTTATGAAAACACAAAGGAATTGTAAATGATATAACTGCCTTGAGCATGTTAAAATCAAATAAGTGATTGTAATAACAGAATTTAAACTGTGCCCTCCACTTCTACTCATGTGTATTTCTTTGGCTTGCCACCCACTTTGATATATACACTGCACAAAGGCAATCATATTACTTTTATGGCCTCATTGCTGATTTTTCAGATGGAAGCTTGTTTTAACTGTCTGTCTGTGTGAGTGCGTTACAGTAGGTGCCGCTGGCTAACAGTGTCTTGGCTCAGCCTTGGGAAGAGCCGTGCAGCCGGGCTAATTGAACCCAAGAGGCAGCACTCTGTAGCGGACTGATGCTTTGATAAGAGGAGAAAAAGAGCAGCTACCACAGTGTGACGAGCGCGACTGACACTGGCGGCTCAGAGACATTTTAGCCGGCTTTAAGAAACTATTGGAACAACACACATATATATATATATATATATATATATATATATATATATATATATATATATATATATATATATATATATATATATATATATATATATATATATATATACATATATATACACATATATATATATATATATATATATATATATATATACACATACATATATATATATATATATACATATATATATATATATATATATATATATACACATATATATATATATATATATACACATATATATATATACATATATATATATATAAATAATATATATATGAAATGCACTGCCCACCAATGATATATAATAGACTGACAAAGTTGGATGTAATTATGAAACAGAAACAATGTAGGATTTTCTTGTTGTTAAGGACCTTTTCTAATTACAGACATTTTTAGCATTTGACAATTTAACATTTTGTTTAAGAAAGAAAATATTATTATGATTTAGCAGTACTGGAACATTGTGATCCTGCATTGATAACAAAAGACACTACTATGATAACCTCAGTTTCTTTAAGTACATCAACCTTGGAGACTTTCTTCACAAAAAAGACCATGGTTGCTCTTCATAATACTTGAAATTGGCCTTCAACTATTAAAGACCATGAGTGACAATAACAAGCAGAACTCTTAGTTTAATAACACAATGTAAATATCAAAATGTCCAATGTGAACATTCTGTATATAAGATGATTTCATATATTATTATATACATTAATTACATTTAATTGTTTATTGTGTGAGATTTGAATGCGTTGTATAAGATACAAATACGAATGGAAATTCAACCCGGACATATCCAGGATATTCCACAGTGGTCTTCACAACCTCCGTCATGGCTCAAGTGCCTCTCCCCAGCACATACACTGACCCTTTGTTTAGAATGTACCTGTGTGTACAGCGGCTCGTAGATGTCCACTCCGTTGTCCTTGCTCTGCTCGATGAGCATGTTTCCTCGCTTCCAGATGAAGCGTGCAGGAGGGTTGGAGTTGACGGTGCAACGCAGAAAGACTGTTTTCTCCTGGTAATAACTGCCTCGCACATCACTGATGGTCTGGTGCACCGTCAGGACTGGAGTGTCCAGATCTGCACACAAGTAGTAAAACAGGACTGTAAAGGCAGACTGTAAATACAACTTATAACGTTATTCAAAGTGGACTTCTGAAAAATGTATCAGAAGATCTGCCTTTTCTAGAAATTTGAGTCGTATGAATTGTCCCTTGATACGTTGCATTGCATTGTAACCCTATTTCTTGTTTGTAAATTATATTTGTTATATACTTTGATGAACACTGCCTACTCGTCCCTAACCAAACATGCCCAAACATATCACAGCTTTAGGTCAAAAATGGCTTCAGATTTATTTCCATCAATTTTTTACCCCCCAAACCGTCTTCTTGCCTGCCTGTGCACTTTTCCTGGCAGTGTCAGTGTGGTCCCTGCGGTGGATGGGATTTCTGCCTCTGTCACATTTAGGGAGGTATGTTTACCGTTTGTGCCATCGCTCCAGAAGCCCCTGCCACCTTCACTGCTCATCAGCCTCCCCTCCCCTTTCCTCCTTCACCTCTATCTCTGACACCAGCCCCTGTGTCACCACGTAATCCTGATTCCCCACACTCTAATTGAAATGATGCGGGCCCTTAACGTCTCGGTAACAATTTCTACAGCCAGAGATGGGCTGCTTGCTTTCTTGCTTTATCTGTGTCAACTTGCTCTGAGGACACAATCTGAGGACCTCTGCTATAAAAGGTTCAATGAGGTTAATGTCAACGCTTGTAATAAAACAGTTTTTTGTGTAAGCATAATGTAAGCATAGTGAAAGCTCTATAGATATAATCACAATTGTCCTCTTTTTGTCTCTGTCAGCTTTAATGTGAGGATATTATATAAAGTGTGCTAGACTTGACTTGCACCTGCAGATTTGGACCCTCTGTCAAATTGGACAACACTCTTAACTTTAAAAGATATGTAATTGAGATTAAAAAAAGAAAATAACACAAAGCCTGGAAGACCAAAAAAGTCTGGTTGGTAGCATAATATGTCCTTATGTTGGACACAATCTAGGAAGTAAACGTATGAGAAAGTCAACGATCCAGAGAAAACAACAAGTGCAGTGAATGTATTTGTTTCACCATTTGTAAATCCTTGGTTCGCCCCTAAAAAAAACTTGCCAAACTGCAATGCTAATGCTACTCCATCCGTTGTTTGGATTCAAATAAAAGAATTTCCTCTAAATATTATAAATGTTATGACAAAATACCAATGACTATACTGGCAAAATAAATCCTCCTCAAAGCCAACTAAATGTCTTATGGACTGGCTTCAAATTGTGCACCTGCTCCCATATTTTACATACCCCAACAGAATTCTTACAAAAAGTGCAAAACAAAGGGGGAAGAATGAATGACCATATTGTCTTGTAGCATCTGGCTTTTCGAAATACTTTGCAGTGAGCCAAGAGTTGTGTACCTGGCAGCGATCACACTCCGACAGCCCCTCCAGGACCATGCCATGTGCGTGTGCTAAAGAGATCTGGCAAACAGGCAAGAGATGTGCCCGCAGACCTTTGCATGTTAGCAGTTGCTGAAGGTATTGTTGTCATTGATTATTTGTGACCTGTGCTGGATTTGTGTTGAGTTGCTGTAGTGAGAATTGGCATTGTGCAATGCCAAGATAGATGTTCCTGTACAAATGTGAGACAGAATGTGTGGACACTGTCAACACACTGCCTGACAATGTGCTAGAACAGATAGTGGACAGGCACGAGTTCAACAAAAGCAAAAGACGAAGCAGAAAAAAGGTGAGTTCATAAAAAGCATTGTTGTGATGAAAAAATATATACCTTAATTACTTTAGTACCGTATAAAGGTATATTTATTTAGTTGTTATTAATCCTGATTAAATAAAAATATGTTTTATTTTTTCACACCCTGCTGGTTTTCAGATTCAGTCCACAGATGTTAAAATTCTAAAGTGCTTCGGCATGCAGGGAAAATTCCATCCCAATTCCAGCATCTTCTATAACTCTGAGGGGGCCTCAGCCGGTGTGGTCTGCTGGAGCAGCAGCATCAAAGAGAGGGACAGGAAGAAGCTGGACAAGGTCTTCCGGTCTGTCCTGGGCTGTTCCCTGAACACAGTGCAGCACGTGGGGGACAGGAGGGTTCTGGACAAACTAACATCTTTGCTGGACCATGACTGTCGCCCCCCGCAGGACACTCTCTCTGCTCTGGAGAGCAGCTTCAGTGACAGACTTATTCACACTCGCTACTGTATGTGAAGAAGAGTTTCCACAATATCCTTAACTCATATCAGAATGTGCAAAATAGAACCAGATGTGTCCACTGTCGCTGTGTGCCAGAGCCTCATGCTGATAATGTACAAATATGCCAGAGCGATAGAGGCCCAGATGTACCACACCAGACAAGATCCAAGGTGTCGGTTTTGCAGAGAGGCCCCTGAGATCAGATTTCAAATTCATTTTATTAGCCATTTGCAGCAAAAACACCACATTGGAATGTATTAGCAAAAGTCTCCAGTGTGCACAGACAAGTACAGACATAAAACATTAAAAGTACAGAAAAAAAACAAATAAAACAAACAAATGTCACTGTGAAATTGATCGGCTAAAACAGTATCAACACAAAGTGCAAGAACATTAAAGTGCTCTGTTCAAACAGATAACAGCTTGTGGGAAGAAGCTGTTAGCATGTCGAGATGTCCTGCATCTCAGAGAGCGATATCTTCTGCCAGAGGGAAGAAGCTGGAACATGGATCATCCAACACTTAAAGGTATATAGGAGGATTTTCTATTTCCGGGTGGATTACTGTTGTACCTCCCAATTGTCAATCATTCTGGTGATACTTCCTCACTTGCTGGTTCTTACGACAAATTTGGGAAAATCCTCTTATAAACGATTAACTGTAGGGTGTAAGATGCTGGCAGGGAAAACCTACAAGGAACGCCATAACCAAATGCTTGTATAGTGTACTGGAACAACTGGGCAGAATATAGGCTCAGAATCACAAGGTCTACAAGGGAAACTCCTCCAAAGGTGGTGAATGAGGTGCAAAGATCCAGCGGGACTTCCAGATACAGATTGACCAGATGGCAATGGCGAACCAACCAGACATTGTGGTGGTAAACAACAGAGGAAAGCCATGATAGAGGAAATGGCCATTCTAAGCGATGGTAACATCAGGAAAAAAAGTATATATGTAGATATATAGCAATGAAGGTTATATTAGATCACAAATAAGACACAAACATACAAACAAGCATACCGACTAAAGCAGACCTTGTCTCTTCCGGCCTGATAATGTAGGACTGACCTTGAACAGCTTTTTATTTCCATTTGGACGCTGAGTAATTTTGTTGTTTGTTCAAAATGCAACATGACATTTGTTAGTTTCTACTAACCATCCTTGTCTTTAGTACCCTATACATTTAGTATTTTCTGCAAAGCACATCCTAATTTTGAATAACATTTAAGAATTAATTTGAGTTACATTTGTCATTGTTCATACATTTCCCTCACTTTATCCATTGCAGGTTCATAAAATCGCAGTCTCAGGCCAAACCTCTTTCCTTCAGCATTTTTTGCGCATGTCCGTGCATCCGGTGGGACATGTTCAGAACACCTCCTCAGGGGTGGCCAGCCCGCGGCTCGTGAGCCGCATGCGGTTCTTTGGCTGGTTCCGTGCGGCTCTCGGGCTTTCACACGACAAGCGTCAAAAACGCCTCGGTGGGGCGCTGCCATTCATTCCCTATGTAGTTCTGACCCATAGTAAAGGCCGACTTCACTCCACTAGCCGGGCCGCCAAAACAATGTGACGTCGGCGAACGTCAATTCTGATTGGTCAATCACTCTGCAGCTGCTACCTCAGCTGTTGCAAATATCATAACAAACAACACGTTGCCTCGACCCATGACGTTCGTACGGAAAACAATTCCTTGGTCGCTGGATGAGGGCAACACCTTCCTCAGTTTGAGCAGAGGACACAAGCGTGAGCTCGATGGTTCCACCAGAAACCAGAAGGTGTTTGTGGAGCTAGCACTAAGGACGGAGCAGAAGGATTCCCACGAACATCACAATGCAGAGAAAAGTTAAAAAGCTTAAAAGTGACAACCGTGAAATGAAAGATCGCAGCAGCAGAAGTAGAGGCAGACCCGAAAAGTCTGGAGGTGGTTTGACCAAATGGATTACATTTACAGACATTGGCTAACTCCAGCTAACATGCTAAAACCAGCTAGCACCAGCTACACCATGAGATAAGACTCAACTCTGCCTGGTGAGTGTCTGTCTTCAATCAAATGCGAAAGTATCTGGTCTTACACTGAGCATGTGTCTGTGGTTCTAAATCAGCTAATGTGGTGTTGGTGTTATGTGTCAAATCTATATCTTTTACTAAACACAGTCAGAGTGAATCATGGTTCAATAAAGACAGCTGTGTTTCTACTGAACACTGGGTTTTTCTTGGTTAGAGATTGAAAGCATTAATTTCGGAATCATAATTGATGTTCGCTGACGTGATATTGTTCTGGTATCGACTCGCCCGGTTAGAACCAGGGCCAAACCATTAATAAAAAGTACCGGGGAGCGGCTAAAGCGAGCGGTAGAAGCGCCCGCAAACCAGGGAGAGTCGAGTCCAGCCCTTTAGTACTGTACGAGTCAATTTCTGTCATTATCATGTTGATGACATTTACAATAAATCTGTCTGAGCAGAGCACACCTCTCTCTGTTCAGACAGTGTGCGTACGTGCGCGTGTGCGTGCGTGTGTAAGAGTTGGGGTGATGTTTATGGAGTGCACATTTGTATGATGTGGCTCTTTGCTGTAACACAGTAAAAAAATTGGCTCTTAGTCTCTGACTGGTTGGCCACCTCTGCTCTACTGACTATCTGAATCTAACTATCTGAACTCTGAACAATTGTAAAGCGTAAAATACGGTCAATAAATAATCCTTACTTACTTACTACTTTACTACTTATACTCTGATCCCGCCTTACTGAGAGAGCACCACCCCTCTGCGGAAGAAACTCATTATGATTTCTTGTTCAGCCATTACCCAAAGCACATGACCATCATTTTTTTTAAGTGCCCCCCATAATAAGTATTTGTAATCCATTGGTCTTTGTGCCCATAGTTGTAAAACATGGACATTGGCTGATGATGCTGACCAACGGTACGTTTTTAGAGAGAGTTTACCAAAAGAATAGCACTCCAGAGAGAAGCAAAATTGGTCAATTGTTTATTGACCATACTATGGTGTCATAGCAGAGAAGAATAGAGTCATGAGCTGCTCCAGATTCAACGGCCTATTAGATCCATATTAAAAAATGTGGCCACCATCAACAACAGAATTACAGAGTGCTGGTGATGTTGAGTGTGCAAAGGCAGGACCACAGGGAAATCAGAGGCTTCATTAAAGTTTTATATTGTGTTTCTGTACACTTGCAGTCTCATCTTGTGTCTCCATTTACTCAAAATGAATAAAGTCGGACCCTATCCGGGAATTTCAAAGCAACTAAAAACAAAA